CTTCCTTCCTTCCTTCCTTCCTTCCTTCCTTCCTTCCTTCCTTCCTTTTTCTACTGACAAAATGAACAACAAAAAACTACAGAAAACAAATACTTGGTTCAAAGGTTTGCAAGCTAAGAGCCTGAATTTGATTCCCCGAATCTATGTAAAAATGCACACTATTGGGACATAACTTGAACACTAGGGAAGCAGAGACAGGAAGATCAGCAGGCCTGATTGACCAGCCAGCAGCCTATTGTGCTGAATCCCAATAAGAGATCTTGTCTCAGAAGAGGTGGCAGCATGAGGATGACATCTGAGGTTGTCTTTGGCTTCCGAACACACAGGCATCTGGACGCACAGGAACCCAGACACACATGTGCACTCACTTTCTCCATGCATAAAAAAATAAAAAGCAGGCTCACAGTCTTTTTGTCTCTCTTTCTATGAGACATTGATAGGTGATGGCAGTTATTGCAACGGCCTCTTGATTCAATGGGGCTTAAAAACAGGGCTATTTCACAACTGCCAATTCTAATCCATGAGTCATTTCTTCTCCTGGCTACTCACCGTGCAGAGTTTATACGAAAAGCAAAGTACCAGATTCTCTTCCTTAGCTGACCTCTTCTCTTTATCCTTCACTCAAAAGCTATTTTTGCCTGGATCATCTTTATGATAGCCCTTGCCTATCCCAGTGGTGGGTTTAGATTCCCTGTGATTTAAGTCCTAGAGAGCACTTTGCAGAGATACTATTTCCTTCACCTCAACACTCCACATTTCTTAACCCTTATTCTATGTTCCTGGAGAGTATTCCTCATCTCTCTTGCATCTTTCTTCACTGTTCATTTTTCAAGCTCAGTTTTCCAAATCTATATAGCAACTCTGATGTCTCCCCAGAATTCCAGAGCAGGCTACCCCTGGGTAGTGGTATCAGCATTACTCTTTCAGATTCAGCATGCTTCCCCTCCCCCAGCCTGTGGCTATGATTGCTCTCTATCTCAGCAATTCATCTTCTGCTGCTCTGTTCCCTTTCATGTCTTCAGTTTCAACACTGTCCTTAATCTGATAAAGTCTTACCTTCACAGCCGTGTGGTCTTTGTTTCTTTAGCCCAGTCCTGAATTTCTCCTTTAGCAAATAGAAGGTAGAAAGCCAGGCACGTCGTGTTAATGCCTGCCATCAAGAAGAAGATTTTATGCCAAGCATAATCTGGATCCTGAGGGATTAAGATACAAAGTAAGTATGAGTGACTGGTCTTGATCTTCTGTCTTATAACACTTAAAATATAGCATTAAAATAATATGTAGAGTTAACACAGGTCACTCAAGCATTCAAAAACTTATAAATAACCAAGAAATTCATCATTTCACTCTACACAAGTAATTGCTTTTGTCTTTCTATATATACAATTCTTTTTTACCAGCTTTCTTTCTTTCTGTCTTCCTTCCTTCCTTCCTTTCTTTCTCTTTCTCTCTCTCTCTTTCTTTCTCTCTCTCTCTCTCTTTCTTTCTTTCTCTCTTTCTTTCTTTCTTTCTTTCTTTCTTTCTTTGTTTCTTTGTTTCTTTGTTTCTTTTTGTTGTTATATTGTTTTTGAGACAGACTTTCTCTGTGTAGCCCTGGCTGTCCTGGAACTCACTCTGTAGACCAGGCTGGCCTCATGCTCACTTATCTGCTTGCTTGCTGCTGTCCTCCAAGCACTGAGATTAAAGGTGTGTGCCACCACTATCTGATAATATATCAGTTTCTTATAATCCATGTATCTTTTTTCTCATGATTTATTTTTTAAACTTCCTTTCTCTTTTGAGATATCTTGCATAGACAACAGTATGTTGTATCACATAAGCATGGATAGACAGGTATGTAGAGAGAAAGTGTGTTTTCAAATGTAGTTGGCAGATTTAAATAATTTCTATGCTCTATAACTATTATTTTTAACTAACCTATGTGCAGTAATTATTATTTTGCTACAATGCCTCTCATGTAATTTTATATTTACCATAGCAGTGTTCTGATACAATTAAGAGAAAGCATTCCAGGTTTTCTTCTTCAAGGCATTCGTGTTGTTGGATGTTGGCACACACCTGACATTTCAGGATTGATGAGGCAGAGGAAGGCAGAGAGATCCAAGGAAGAGGCCAACATAGGATACATAGTGAGTTCCAGGTCAGCCAGGCCCACATGGTGAGGTCCTGTCTCAAACAAAACCTCAAAACCAAAACAAAACGAACCCCCCAAACTCCCCAGTTATTTCTATCTCATTGTGAACACACACATGCCAATTGTATAAAAACACTATAATTTCCCACAAAGAATAATTTAAAATTTTGATTGGAATTATATTGAACCAACAGATCTTATAACAGAATTTCAAGGCATTTTTACAATTTCAAGTCTTTTAACATAAAAAAATGGTGTATCTTGCCATTTATTAATTTTTAAAATTTTTCTGTAAAAATTAGCCCCTGGTTTTCTCCATAGATATGTAAATAATTCATTAAACATATTCTTAAATATATGATTTTTATTTTAGGGCTAAAAATAATATACTAAAATTATTTTGTGATATTTATGCAGATATTTAGAAAATAATCCATACAGATTTATGCTATGTATATATTTATACTCTGTCATCAGAAACCAGGTCACCTCCACCTAGATGTATTTTGTTTTGCTTGCTTGAGGCTCACTTGAGTCTCAACACTCCTGAATCACCTCAAATGGGTTGACATTTCTCAGCACTCCTGAAGCACCCCAAATTTGGGTTGGTATTTTCTGCTACCCAAGTGACCAAAGGCTGATTTCGAGGATTGGCTATTTTTTTCTGGTCACCTTTTTCTTCAGATTCAGCCCTTGAAAAATCTCCAGCTAAAATGTTTGGTTTACTGGGAGAGCACTCCCAAATTCAGAAGTCCTTTTTACAATAGAAAAAAGAAAGGAAGCCATTTTGGCACAATTCCTTGAGTTTCTGCTTCTTGCAGACATTGCCTGCTATTGCCTCTGCATCTTCAGCTTGCTCAGGTTTCAATGAAACTCCCCCCTTTCGGTTTCCAGCTTTAACAACTGTTAACCTTAAGAAAATTGACCCAAACCACCCACTCTTCCATTGATAGAAGCAGAGTCCTTATAGGTTCCTTTTGTTTACATTACATCTGATCTTTCTATTTTTAAGTTGCTATATTGTTGACCACAGGGAGTAAATAAGATTCTTTGACACCTGTCATGCTTCTGACATCCTTTGTCTGTCCTTTCACTTCTTTAAACGCCTGCATCACTTCCAGTATCGTTGAAGCTCTAATTCTGTGTTTGTTTGTTTGTTTGTTTGTCATTTGCTTCACATTTCAAGTGTTTTGTGATTTTTTTTTTTTGCAGTGTCATGCCATGTGTACTGAAATTCCACGGAGCATAAATTTGCTCCAACCAGAAAGCTCAGGTCTTGTAAAACAATTCTCGGCATGTGACATTTAGAAGAAAAGGGTTTGGTGGGGCCAGAAAGATGGGTTAGGGGTTCAGAGCAACAGACAGTTTTCTAAAGGACTGAGGTTCACTATTTCTAGCACCCACATGGTGTCTCACAATGGATTATAACTCCAGTTCCAGAAGGTATTACGTTCTTTTTCAGACTCTGTGGCTGGAGGCATGCACATTGTACACAGGTACATATATAGAAAAGTCACCCATACACATAAAATAAAATTAAAAAAAATTAAAAAATATTTGGGGGAGGAACAGGATTTGAGTGTGGACCTCAACCTCTTGTTGGCTTATTGTTTCATGTGCTCAGGGGGGATTTTATTCAATTTTTCTCTTCCCGCACACTTAGACAAAGGCAGGATTCCTTCCTGGGCAGAGATCACTTTGCAAAATTCTGAAATTTAATTTTCTCACACCTTTAAGAAGTTAGCAGAAAAGTTTGCTCAGCCAACAAAAATTAGGAATTGAGCAGACTCAGTGGAAGAGCAGGGTGAGGCTGGCTCTGTGCTCAGCAAGAATCTGACCCTGGTTGCCTTGAACTTCCCTTCTCTAGTGAAGCCATCGCTCCTACAGGAGTTTCTATAGATATGTCGGTGTCTTCTGCCTTTATGTCATCATCATAAGTATGAGAAGCAGGATTTTGGTGGCTCATCTATGAGCAATATGGCCATGATGTGTGCTGACCACCTCTCCCTGGCCCATACTGTGTGTGTGGGAACAACTGAAGGAACTCCCAGCACAACTACTCCACTTGGGAGCTTTCCCCCAAACAAACCAGTTTATGAGCTAGTTCAATTGATAGGAGACAGGGGTTGGAATAGATGAGAAGCTTTTTGTATTCTCCACCATAAAGGGTTCTTTTGTCCTCCATGTTGTAGAAAGGAATCTGAACATGCACACTATCAATAACTTAGACTGCACACAGTGCTAGCAGCTGGCTGTTCTGAGTAAATACTCTAGCCCAGGTAAAGGGGGAGCACATGATTGATATAGGCAGACACTATTTAGACACTTTTTAAAGAAGTGCCTGGGGTCAGGCTACTAGAGAATAAGGGGAAAGTGCAAGGCCCAGACATCACAAGTCTTAGAAATGTTGCTGATCACCTGACCAGCAGGGCAAGACTGACCTCCAGAATGATTGACTGCCTCCTTGTAAAAGCAGCTGGCTGAAGTTTTGCTGAGGCTATTGACCCACTGCCTTCTCAGATGACTGAACCCCATGCTGTGAGGAAAGTGCTACTTAAAGATGCAGTTCCTGCCTCTGCCCACAGCTTCTGTGGTGGCAGGGAGCACGACCTCTGGTATTGAAGATGCAGAATGAGGTGCAGTCCTTTCTCACTACACAATTAAGCTAGCATGCCCATCCTGGATTTGCGGTTTTGGGATAATTGTTTGTCCCTTCATCCTCGGCAGCCAGTGCCCCTGTGATCAGTCATCTCTCTGGAATCAATTTTTCTGAATCTCTAAAATGCTCTCTTGGTTTTTTCAAGACAAGGCATGTATTTTAAGATTTAGTGTGAGCGTGTGTGTGTGTGTGTATGCATGTTCCATGACATGGATGCGGAGATCAAAGGAAATGTTTATGGAGTTGGTTCTCTCTTTCCACCTTTCTGTGGATTCTGGGGTTTGAACAAGGTTGTCAGGCTTGTGCAATAAGCACTGTCCCCACTGAGCCATCTCACCAGCCAAAAGCATGCATTTTAAGTAACTTTAAGTTGACAGAATATTTCAATTGTGTCCATCATGAAGATTTTAAGTGATTCTGTAACAATTACAGATCCATGCCTGCCTTGGTAGACATGACAGTGTCCCTCAACATTTAGCTCTGTACTGTCCTGATTTTAGTCTATTTTCTGACAAAGCTTGTTACTTCCACTACCTTCACTAAGCCAAAATCCTGTTTCAGCAGCTACACCTGCCCTATTTAAACCAAAGAGATCCATTTCCTTTTAGATAATTAAAGAGTTCCCAACACTAACAACTAATAGACAAAGAGAAAGAATAGATTGTAGAGTCAGAGCACCATCTGATTTCATCAAAGTTGTCTTCAAATGACATGAAAACTCATCTACTGTTGGCATCTTCTCCCTTTTGTGGTGTGTGTGTTTAAGATACATACACACACACACATATATATATGGAGAGAGGGAAGAGAGAAAGAGAGAGAGAGACTTTCTTCACACAATAATGAAAAAAATAAGTATGTGTATCTGCATGCTACTTACTTGATTAAGGATCAATCCAGCGATAGTTGAAGAAATTAGGCCTCCAAACATTCCAATTAAAGCTGTGACTGCCTTAAGAAATCCATAATATCTGTACAGAAAGGAAAGAGAACACAGATAGAAAATGGTCCAAACTCTTCAGGCAAAGCCACCCAATCCAGTGAGAGCAGGGGAGGGATGGGGGATCCTATTGCTTATGTTCATTAACATGTAACACCATTCTCATTGTTCTACAGCATCAGAAAAGTTGACCTTAGCAGTAAAGAATCTATGATATTATGGAAATGGGAGAGCGCTTAGAGTAAAACTCGGCAGTGTTTGAGACTTCTAAATATAGCCAAAGACATTCAGAAGGCAGGATGGGCTTCTCGTAGGAACTGAGTGGAGACTGATTGACTCAAGGACTGTGTTCACTTGGTCTCATCACATAGACCCTGAACCACAGACCCCAAGGATAACTGCCAGTCCCTGAGTGGGAAAATGAGAAGGCTCATTGAATGTTTATAAGCAGCTATTATTGGCCAATCCTGGATGTTTATAGAAACTTTAGAGAGAAATGAAGAAATAAACAAGGAAGCCACAATTTGTTAGACCAAGGAGAGGGCAAGTCCACCAGCCATGGAGGGGTGAGTTGGTGCTTAGTCAAGAGGAGCTTGGCTCAGGCTTGGGAGCTTTGGCCCTTTAGCCCAACGTTAGAGGTTCTGTGTTAGAAGGTCTTTCCTCTCATGAACAGGAGAGTCTTCAGACTCTTATTTTCTTTGATCTACACTGTATCTGCTTTGCCTTTACTTGTTCAGTGTGGAAGAAGGATAAAGCTTTTCGTTTAACGTATAGGCCTCTGCTCAGGAAAACTGTGAGGTTGCAGATTGGAATTTTGAGCTGAGTCATGGGAGAGGTGGACAGTGCATTCTATTAGGATAGTGTCCTAGTCACTGTCCTATTGTGAAGAATACTTAAGCTCCTGAGCAGCCACAGAGATTGGTGGTGGCTGGAACAATTATCTGGCCTCAAGTTTCTGCAGTTCACCTGTTTGCCATAGCAACAAAACCCTTGGATGGAATTGGAGCCAGTTATGACTTTTCTGAGCTCTTGTTACTTCTGTCTTTATGAGCTTGTAAAAACACTAGTTTACACACACACACACACACACACACACACACACACAGAGAGAGAGAGAGAGAGAGAGAGAGAGAGAGAGAGAGAGAGAGAGAGTCATTTTCTATCATCATAAAGGTTTTATTTTTTTCTTTTAACCTTAAGATAAATGGAAACACTTGTATGGGCCCCTAAATGTATTTAAGGTCCTCTTGAGTCATGTCTTTTGGGAAACTGATGTGAACCTGTTGTTCAGGTACATCTATATTCCCAGCATCCTGTGCAGCTGAAGAATTAAACTTGGGTTGGCTTTAGAGATGAATAGAGATGGTGAGAACTTCTTAAAGCTGTTGCTTGCACAATACCTACCAACCAGAGCTCCCAGGGTCTAAACCACCAGCCTAGGAGCACTTAGGGAGGGATCCATGGCTCCAGCTGTATATGTAAGGGAGGATGGCCCTGTCAGGCATAGGTGGGAGAGGAGATCCTTGGTCCCATGAAGGCTGAACGCCGTGTTTGGGGAAATTCAAGGGTGGGGAAGTAGGAGTGTGTGTGGGGGGGGGTAGGTAGGGACACATCCCAAGAGAAGCAGGAGGAAGGGTGATGGGATAGGGGGTTCTTGGGCGGGGGGAGGAAATGGGGTAAGGGGATAACATCTGAACTGTAAATAAAATATCCAATTAAAAAAAAGAAAAAAAAAGAAAAAAAGCTGTTGCTTGCTTTAAACTTTCTTCTTTTCCTTTCAGTGGCTGACATATGCCACTGCAACCAGAGAATACATTCTGAGTGAGTACAGTCATGTTGAGTTAACTGCAGCTTGCTTTATGATCCTGAATGACTGTCGACTTCGGTCAAGTCTTATGAACCATTGATAATTCCGAAAACTCAGTCCTTATTAAGTGTTGTCTTACTATGTCAGTTAGAATAGCTATGTTCATTTGTTCTGCTAATCATCAATATCATTTCCAACTTTTTGTCTACCTCGTATTGTGGATAATTTGTTGAGATTCCAAAAGTCCTTTACTTGTAACTGTGTCTAACTATTTAAGTGTGGTTCAGTTGAACCTCTTAATTCTTTGAACTCCCCCAGCTCATGATGAATATAAATAAATATGTATGGGCTGGCAAGATGGCTCAGTGGTAAGCGCAGTTGCTGTGCAAGTCTGACAGCCTGAGTTCAACATTGAGGTGGGAGGAAAGTGACTTTACAAAGTTGTCCTCTGCCACTACGTACACACAAACACACACACACACACACACTCACATCAATAATAAATAAATGCAATTTATGAGTTTGAGCAAAAGTAGAAGTTTGATATACTTATCTTTACAATTCTGAAGTTAATTTTAAAATTTCTAGTGCTGCTTCTTGGACTAAGCTTTATTTTATCTGGTATTATGACAGCATTTTCAAACTCCTTATTACTTCATTGACTTTTGATCCGTTCATTTAATCTGTATCTTCTTGGCAGCAAAGCCGTATTTCCTTGTAGGTTTAATTTAACAAGTGCAAGAAATAAGGAAGATGGGCACATGACATGAGGGTTCATTGTCCCAGCAATTTCCTTTTAAATTCCTTATGCAACCACAAGATGGAGCACCTCCCTGCCATAGGCTGGGCAGGTGTGAGCTTTCTTCTGCATCTTACAGTCCCTTACCAACAGTGGGGGTTTGATACCAGAAAGCATGAGAAGCTTTAAATTGCTTGAATGTAAGACAGATTTCTGTACAATGTTCAGCTATAATTTGCTTATTCTTCAGCTGGAACAGCCCATGGTTTAAAGTATTTTATAAGAAATACAAAAGGAAGGACGAAAGGAAGGAAGAAAGGAAGGAAGGAAGGAAGGAAGGAAGGAAGGAAGGAAGGAAGGAAG